TTTTGTCCCTTATTGTTTACTTTGGGGGTGGGGGTGGGGGGTCGTAGTCTATGGCTTTCCAGCGTAGAATATATGCATTATACATCGGGCCAATTTAATATGTTACATTGCATATTAAATGTGACTTCTTGATTGTGATTGAGAAAGTTTTTACATATATAAGTTTACTTTCTAACTTTTGGGGAATATAAAGTTTATACATATATAAGTTAGGATATCTAATTTGCTTTTCGCTGTCTTGCGGTTTCTTGCCTCTTTTATTTGTTTCTTCATTTTCTATACAAGTAAACACCCTCAGATTACCTCATTGAGGAGAGGCAGTGGGTTTGTTTCCACTTCCCTTCATTGACAGTTGAATCCTCAACCTTATGGTTGATATAGAGGGCATTTTCCAGTAAGCCATTCTCCCCTTGTTCTTCATTCATCTTTTTCAGCAGCTTTTGTCGTAATGCAAAGTTAAAATCGACGTTGCCATGAGGAATTGAGAACAATATTTTTAAGAGTAATTTCACTCAATATATTAACCAGAGTGCATAATATGCATCTTATGAAATTCTATTCAGAAAAGAAAAAGCTAAGCTACTTTCACAAAGATCTTTATCAGTGTAGAAGAGGTTCCATAGACTGCAAAAACTGTGCCCATGACAATAAATGCAGCATCCAAAGTCAAACTACACCAGCCCAATTCATTCTTGAATGCAATCAGATGAAACAAAGAAGGCAACACAAACCCCAGAACAACACACACACTGCTCCCAACAAGTGACATGAAATCAGCAAAATTGGGTACCATCATTGCCACAAAAGACACTGCTAAAACCACAAGCCATCTCAGCCACAAGCAATACCTACCTTCACAAAATCTCCTTTCCATCACTTCATAAACTGGATTCATCATCAGTGGGAAGGCAAAGAACAGGTCTATGCAAAGGCCAAGTTGCACCAAACTGCTTAGCAATCCCTGCCCAAGATTAGTAGTGATTATATCTTTGGTCTCTTCCCCAAATGCAAAGTAACCCAATGCTCCAAAAGTACCATATACCAATGCTACAAAGGCCACTGACAAACCCAAGATTTTCCCAAATTTTTCCTTGTCTCTTATCTCTGATTCCAAAGGCAAAATCATTGCCATTCCTTCAAAAGCATACACAGCCACACCAACACCATATAAAAACACACTGAACCCACCAAACATCTCCAAATTAGGCATGTTTTGGAGGTAAATCATCACATCCTCAACCATAACTACACCCAAAGCTCCTAAATCAACAATTTCAGCAAATATGCTCAAAGGGGCTAAAAGGGTCAGTGTTGGAATTGAATTCAACCCCAACTGGAATGGAAAACAGCTCCAGATATACACTGCTTTTGGAGAAAATCCCATGATTTTGGCATTTGGAACAGAATAATTGAACAAGTAAGCTAAAGTATTAGCTATAAAAATCATGTAGCCCACTGAAAAACATGCTTGGGATAGAACAATCATAGAATCAACAGCAAAACGACCTATTGGTCCACACACAGCAAAACCCAAGTCACCAAAAGATGAGATTTTGGGAGCTTCAAATTGGGATTCAAGCTTACGCCTTGAATAAACAAGAAGCATCATACAGTAATAGGTAAGAATAGCTACTGAAATAATCAAGAGAAAACCCATTACCCATCCTGTTCTTTTGAAAGTGTACGGAAGTCCAAGAACTCCAGCTCCAACTAAAGACATGAAAATATTAGCAAAAGTCTTTGAAGGAGAAGACAGTTTTTGAGTCTTGCCCATAATAAGTGGTGTATCCTCTCTTGGAATTTTCAGAATATGAGATGATGAACTTGCTTCGTTTGTCTTAAACCCCATTGTTTAATCCTCAAATCAAGAATTCAATCCAATAAAATGCGAGTTTTTCACAACCCCAGAAAAAGATTTTAAAAAAAATTCTTGATTTGACTGAGATTGTGGGAGAAGCAATAACAGTAATAAGATCAAGATTGATAAAAATGAAATCTTTTATCCCTTTTTTGCTGTTTGTGGGAATTTCGTATGTTGATGGCTTTTCCTATGCTAAATTTTAGTGTTTAAACGTGGGTAGGATTTTAGGACTGTGTATATGTAAGCTACAACTGATTTGACTGGAGCAAATCAAATAAATATTCTTAAAAATAAAATAAAAATTGAAAGTGACATTCGACCTATATCTTAATTTTACTTGTACCTATGCTTGTCTCATTTGGGGTATCCCCAATAATTGGAACGATAAAGAAGTTAAAATTTTGAAAAAATTAATCCAAATAACCGTTTACTTAATCTCAAACTAAAAATAGTAGTCGAATATATANATATATATATATATATATATATATATATATATATATATATATATATATATATATATATATATATATATATAAAATTAATATAACATAACTTATGTATACCGACTAGAAAAAGTAAACATTTGACTGGTTATAGTATATCCCTTCACCTTTATCTAAGTACTAACTTACCTAGATAATATATATATATATATATCCCTTCGCCTTTATCTAAGTAGTACTAACTTACCTTACCAATTTGCGTGTTGGATTATAAGCTTTCCAATTGGCAAGATTTTGTATAATACTATCATTAAAAATACCTAAAAGGACGCAAATATCTATTGAACATATTTATCATGTAAGATAATGCTTAACAAACACCACGTCTAGTTTTTACAAATATTTGGATGAAGTATTATATTGGATGAAATTAATACCTGTATTGATATTTTACCTCAAGTTTTCAAATTCTTCTATTTCTGCATGTATAGTATGGATTAATGTGTGATCTTTTGGTTCATGAACTTATTAAACCATCTCCAACTCTAACACTAAATTTCACACTAAAATGGTATAACATCAAATTTACTCCAACCATTACATTATTTTTTACACCAAAAAAAGAATATTTCTTCTCTCTCTTCTATATTATATTATTATCTTCTATTTAAATTTTATTTTTTATTTCCTTCAAACAAATTCTATCTTTTTTCTTTTTTCCATATTCATCATATATAATTCACATTCACTACTTATATAACCATTTATTACAATGGTTATATTTCTTTTTACACAATATAATAATAATAAAATTAACTTATAATTTTATATAAATATAACATATACAAAAATTAATATATCAACCAAATAGGATAATAAATTAAAATTATAAAGATCTTAATATAAAAATTAATTATATACACAATATATGATAAATTAAAAGTCCAAAAAAATAAAAAGATGAATAAAATAATAATAAATCAAATTTGGTGTTGATGAATGGTGTCACACCAAATTTGGTGCGACACTATTCACGCACTATAATGGTGCAAGATTTTGTGTTTCATTGGAGCAAAAAAATACCAAATTTTACACCAAATTTAGATTTGATGCAAAAAATAATGCACCCTTAGTATATCATTCCATATAACTATAATTATGCTTCAATCTCGTACAAGCCACGGTCGATTATATAAATTCTTATCATATTTCTCTATTTAATTCGATCTCATGCGAACATTATACAAATAAAATAAAAATAAAAAGTACTAGATTTTTTGTTTTGTTGGTATTTTCTACTGGTTCTTACGTATCTTATTGCATACCGAACAATATTTCGGTATCCTTTTCATACTCCATTAGTTGCCAATATCCCTTTGATTCGCATCAGCATGCCTCTCGTGTTAATCATTAATTAAATAAAAAGTTGAAAATTAGGAAAATTTTCTATAATAATGGACATGTAAGAGAGGTAAGTCTGATATATGAAAGCATTTTTATAAGGAAGATTTCCACTCTTTTTAAAAGCGTTTTTAATTGGCAAGTTTATCATTCAATGAATTAAAATAACTAAAAGGCTAAAAAAGCTTATGGTAGGAACAAGAAAAGTAACATTTGCGTCACAAATTAAACCTTTGATATACTTAGGAAGTTCAGTAGAGTGATATTGTAGTCAGTGGCGGAGGCAGGATTAACGTCAAGGAGGTTCAAAAATGAAAAAAGTTAGAAAGGTCGGAGCTAGTAGGAATAGAACCAATGACCTTATAAAGGTTTTGAACCCCCTTGACCGCTAATCTATGTTTTTGGAATGTGTAAAAGAGATTCAAAACATAATATATAGAGGTAAAAAACAGATTTTGCTTATATATACAGTGTAATTTTTCGGCGAAGAGAGTTCGGGTGAACACCCTTCCGCCCCCCTAAATCCGCCCCTAATTGTAATTGGAACAAAATCTGATGGCAGTGTCTAATGCAGCCTTAAACTGTGTTAGTCTATTGTTGTAAACATGTAAGTGAAATTGGGGCTAGGACTATGTTTGATTTTAAAGTTTTATTTCATGCAACAATAACAACAGCAACAACAAACACAGTATAATCCTACCAGTGGGATCTGGGGAGGGTAACGTGTACGCAGACCTTACTCTCTACCTTCGAGGCTATTTCCGATAAACCCTCGGCTCAAGGATCAGTAAAAAGGCTATCTTCTCACAAGATGCATGGCTTTTGTAGTAATCCGAATCTTGTTCTCAAAAATAGACACACTTCTCCTCACCGTCCTCTCTACGACCCTCTCTCAAACTTTCATAGTGTTACTCCGCAGCTTGATACCTCTGTAGTTGTTGCAATTTTGGACATCAGCGGAACCATCAAACTCCTGTATTCATGAGCATTTTTCAAATCCACATGATAAATTTTAACAAGCTAATGAGTTCTGCTTTGCTTATTTCTCTGCTGCTATATTTTCAAACTCATAAGAGCTTGAAATGATCTTGTATTTCGATCATAATCATTCCTAAGCAAAGATGGGGATGAAACAGAAAGAAGCTTCAAACCAAAACTTCAATATGGAACCAAGAATTAATCCAAACTTCATTTATAGAAAATAGAGATTATCAAATGTGGTCAATTCCCATAGCATATTATATATGCATAACATAACAAGTAGTGCTTAGCATTAAGAAGAGAAAACCAAATTGGCCAATTGAGCAAACTAATAACACTTTGCATTGCAATAATTAATACACAAGAATATGACCCTCACACTTACTCACAATAATCCTTTATATCATTTGAGAAAGGATAGCCTAACATACTTATTACTAACAAGAACAAAGAGTGAGCTTACTCTTTGCTTAGGAATGAAAATAATCTCTTAAAAAAGTAGTCTGAACTCAATCTAAAGCAAGAGTTCATAATATTGTACGCAGCCCGGTGCACTAAGCTCGGGTCCGGGGAAGGGCCGGACCACAAGGTCTATTGTACGCAGCCTTACCCTATATTTCTAAAGAGGTTGTCTCCACGGCTGGAATCCGTGACCATTCATGATCACATGGCAACAACTTTACCGGTTACGCCAAGGCTCCCCTTCATGTATCTTCTGAAATGCTATGGAAAAAGTTATGCCTTTTTTGCTAAGATCTCCATCAGGGAAGAAGAGGTGCCATAGACTGCAAAAACTGTGCCCATAACAATAAGAGCAGAATCAAAGGCCAAACCATTCCAGCTCAGCTCATCCTTAAACACAATCAGGTGAAACAAAGCAGGCAAAACAAACCCCAAAATAATACACACACTGCTCCCAACAAGTGACAAGAAATCAGCAAAATTAGGCACCACTAATGCCACAAAAGTCACTGCCAAAACCACAAGCCATCTAATCCACAAGCAGTAACTGCCTTCACAAAATCTCCTTTCCATCACTTCATAAACTGGATTCATCATCAGTGGGAAAGTTAAAAACAAGTTTATGCAAAGGCCAATTTGAACCAAACTGCTGAGCAAACCTTGCCCAAGATTTGTAGTGATTATATCCTTAGTATCTTCTCCAAAAGCAAAGTAACCTAATATTCCAAAAGCACCAAACATCAAAGATATGAAAGCCATTGCCAAACCCAAGATTTTCCCAAATTTGTCCTTGTCTCTTGTCTCTGATTCCAGAGGCAAAACCATTCCAATCCCTTCAAAAGCATACACAGCAACACCAAGACCATAGAAAAACACATTAAACCCACCAAACATTTCAAGAACTGGTCTGTTTGTAAGGTAAATCATTACATCCTCAACCATCACTACACCCATAGCTCCTAAATCAACAATATCAGCAAATATGCTCAAAGGGGCTAAAAGGGTCAGTGTTGGAATTGAATTCAACCCCAACTGGAATGGGAAACAGCTCCAAATATACACTGATTTGGGTGAAAATCCCAAGATTTTGGGATCTGGTTTTGTGATGGAATAATTAAACAAGTATGCTAAAGTATTAGCTACAAAAATCAAGTAGCTGATACAAAATCCAGCTTGGGATAGAACAATCATAGCATCAACAGCAAATCTACCCACAGGTCCACACACAGCAAATCCCAAGTCACCAAAAGATGAAACTTTTGCAGCTTTGAGTTGGGATTCAATCCTACGCCTTGAATAAACCAAAAGCATCATACAATGGTAGGTAAGAAAAGCAACTGAGAAAAGCATGATTGAACCTAAAACCCATCCAGTTCTCTTGAAAGTGTAAGGAAGACCAAGAACTCCAGCTCCAACTATTGCTATGAAAATATTAGCAAAAGTTTTTGAAGGAGAAGAAAGGTGTTGAATCTTGCCTAAAAGTGGTGTATCTTCTCTTGGGATGCTCAATACATAGGATGATGAACTTGCTTCATCTTTAGCAAACCCCATAGTCTTATCCTCAAATCAAGAATTCAACCCAATCTAATGCAAATTTTACACTAACTAAGAAAAAAGATCAAAACTTTAGATTTGATATACAAGAACAAAGGTCAAGATTGAAACTTTTTCACCTTTTCTTGCTCTTTGTGAATCTTCTAGGAAATAAAAAGGAGGAGAACAGAGAGATAGAAAATTGGAGTGTGGTATTGTTTTTCCTGCGCTGTATTATAGTACTAGTCTTTAGGCCGCCGATGGCTGTGGGAGCGTGTTGAAAATTGAAATGTGGTGGGGAGTTGCCGAGCTGTAAGATTTACAAATTATTCAACACGGACAAAAATGAACAGGAACAATCAAATACTATAATTATATTGCATAAATTTCACTTATTTTAATTTTGGTCCGACGAAACCATTAAAATACCTAAAAGATAGGAACTTTTATTTGTTGAAAATGTAGCACTCAAGAATATTTGTTTATATCAGACCAAATGTCTGCGTATTCTCTCTCATTTTTCTTCTAAAAATGTTTCTCAAGAATCATAAACTCTGATCATATTTTTTGGGTATTATTCTACTCCCTCCGTCTCATAATATGTGTCGTGGTTACTTAAATTTCTTAAATCATATTATTTTAAAAGTTCAAGACAAAATTAATTATATTTTTTCTTTTTTACCCTTAATAATCAATTGCATTCACATTTAGTACAAATATAAATAATGTCATTGATAGAGATGTCACATAAAGTGAGAAAATATTTAATAAGGATAAAGTAGTCAAAAATTATTCTTTTTTAAAGGGCGTGCATAAGAGAATCACGACACATATTATGAGACCGAGTGAGTAGTTGATTACTACTTCATTATGCTATTTTCGTGGTTGTGTATTCTTGTTGTTGTTGTACACGTTATGACTTGCTTTTCTTTTCGTTTTGGATTTATTTTCTATTTCTATTCATACGGCTAGGAACTTATTTTCCAGAGGAGGAAACAAAAGACCTTATGGACTGATATAATCCTTATATCAATAGCTAATTACACGGCTCAAATCCTGACCTATAGGTCATAGGAAGACAATTTATCTGTCGCTTCAAGATTTTCATTCCTAAACATTAGTTGTATAATAATTTAAATAAATAAGAGAGATAGGAAACATCAGAAAGGTAAGTGTTACATAACCAAAAATTGCAGGAGGTTTCCTTTCAATTTTTCTTTTCTTTTTCGTTCTTTTTTTTCTTAGGTTTGTGGTTGAAATAAAAAGATGATAAGAACGTTGCTTTCACTCTATCATGATTCATGAAAACTGTTAAAATGGTGTATAAAGGCTTCGCTAACAGTGACTTGTCTACCATTAATTAATTAAAATAAGTAAAATGCTAAAAAATTTGTGGTAGAACAAGAAAGCAACACCAGCATCACTGTGGATACGTCGAACCATAGGAGAAAAAATGGTTTTATTATAAAGACCTAATATAACAAGATTTTTAGCAAGGGGAGTCTAGATATGAGGAAGTAAAATACGAATAAGATAAAGACATTCAACATCTAGTATATATAGATAAAATAACTTTTTTTTAATCTATCTATACAATACAGTATAATTTTTTCGGCGAAAGGATGTCAATTGTTTATGTATCCCTTGAAATTCAGTTTTATTATAATCTTCCATGAAGTTCTTCTGCCTAATACCCATATAAATGAATCTAGCAATCTATTTATGCCTTTTTAATAAGGCAAACACTAATTATGTATTTTTGTTTTAGTATTCTCATTTGTGTGCTCAAATTTTGCAGGATATCTTGTACAGATATGTCAACCAATTTGGACTCTCCAATTCACAGCTGCATTGGCAGGTAACATAAGAACCATAGTGTTGTACTTTACAGGACTTATCAGGAAAAATATCTGAAATTTTGATGGTGAAAGCGAAAAAGAAGCTTCATTGATATTTTTTCAAAAGAAAAAAGCATTACTCATTGAATATCCAAAAGCATATTGAGAATTGATTTATTTTGCTCTTCTTTAGTGGAGTAGTATTTAAATAATCAAGTAAGATTGTTGTTTTCTAGGTCATCGTTCGTTTTATCAATGTCTTATCGTCAAATCAGCACCTAAAAAAAATCCCTTTTGGATAAGGGATCCTGTCCTTTCATACTTTTGCTCTTTTTAACTCTTTTTTGGGACGCCTAAATATTTGTCCTTTCCCAATAAGATACAAGAAAAAGATTGAGAAAGCAACTTGAGACCTTGGGGAGAATGCCACTGTTCCTTTGCAATGATGTGGACACAACCCCTTTCTCATGCAAAAAGTAATTTTGCAACCACAAATTAAAGCCTTGAATATTTATTTAACACTATTGAACCCAACTTTGTTAGTTTTGCAACCACAAAGGTAGCTATTAGAGTCTGGAATATTTGACCCTGGTATCATATTGAACCAAGATGATCCCTCAAGTTTTGCAAAGATAACAGTGTGTGCCATTCAATCTATACCTAGTCAAAGTCATGTCTCTAAGACTCTAGAGAGGACTGGATTTGGCTTATTGCTTTCTAGCCACTTCTTTTTATACATTGAACGGTAATCAGGAAAGTACCATTTATACAATGAACTACAAGTAGCACATTGTTGTATATCATTTGGACCAAAAAATACAACTCAGTCAACAATTTCTTTTCCTAAATTTTCCCATATAACATAAAAAAGAAAAATAGGAAACATCGGACAAAATTACAAGTCTAAACAACCAGATTTCAAGATTTCAGAGAAACTGAGATGCACTTCTTTAGGGAACAGCTATCTAGATTACAATTCTGAGAAACAGCTTTCAATATTTCAGTGGAATTAATACACCTGGGTTATTAACCTCAAGCAGGGTATATCATTCTTAAAAAGACAGAAACTTAATTCACGCACAAACATGAATATGGACTAGCAACAACCACCACTGCCAATAACTATTATCGGAAACATGCTTCCTTTGCAAGCACAAAGGTAGTGTTTAGGGTCCTTTTTCCCTTCTTCACACCACAAGGATAACTGAATTTTACCATCTAACACCAGAGTGGTCATGAGACCACAATACTTTCTCCCGGCTCCCCCTACCCAAAGTAAAATTTGCAAAATGCAAATCTTTTCAGGACTCTCTAGTAAAATAGTAACTTCAAATAAAGCCATAACACTCGATCTCAACCCACAAGGTAGTGCTGTCATAGCATGAAGAATTGTTCCTTCATGCCCTATACTAGAAGGAAAAATGCAAGACACAGAAGCATTAAAAGTCTAGATCAGATTTCTTTGTATCCAATTAAATAACTATGCTGACAAGGTCAAAATCACCAATGTTCTCTCAGTGGGTCTGCCTATCCTCTTCACATTGTTAAACTAACAGAAGCCATACTTCCAGCTAAGGTGCTTGTCTTTGTATCAGATACTATAAAAAAACTAGCAAAGTTCTGGCTTCAGCAAGTTTGTTTTTCTGAATGACTCCGGGAAATTGCCTGTTACTATGATGCAAGTCTAAATAGTTAAAGAACAGCAATAACAACAACGAACCAGTGAAATCCCACTAGTGGGGTCTGGGGAGGGTAGTGTATACGCAGACCTTACCCCTACCCCGAAGGATAGAGAGGCCGTTTCCGAAAGACCCTCGGCTCAAAAGACGAAAAGAGGCAATATATCAGTACCATCAATAAAAACCATAGAAAAAGAAAAAATAACAGCATCATAAGAACTAGGAAATAGATGGAAAGCACAATAATAACCAGTAGATCACTAAGATGAACGAAAGAGTAGTGAGAACTCAACACTAACCACTAGCAGTCATATATATATATATATATAACATTTGATATAGAGGTTACAATTTGCAATGCTGATCTATACGTACAACCAGCAATGCCAGATCTATCTCATTTAGCTCTAGATATGCAACTATGATCACTCGAATTACAGAGCTGTTAAGACTTAAGGTAACAAGGATAAAAGAAAAGCAAGAACCTACTAGGTAGATGCCTACTACACTTAAGCAGAAGTTCCCAGTAAGGGCTTTTCAAGTACTCTAGTAAATAGTTAAAGAACAGCATTTATGGAAAATGGCAATCAATGATCAAACCTGACAACTGGCTTACAATCTCCTGCCAGGAAACTTAGATGCATAAAATGAGGAAAAGAATAGGATATGGCAAAGAAAATACACAGGCAGCTATGGTTTCAACAGCTTAAGGATGCTAAGAGGGACTGATAATTAAAGATAAGACAGACACCAAGCGCCCAACTCGATGCAAGTGGTGCCTATGGGATCTATACTTACATTAGGGCATTAAAGATATTGTCTATTTTATAAGACTAAGATTAGAGACTACCTCCAATCGAAGAGTTAAAAAAATTGTGAAACGGCAAATGTAGAAATGGAAGACTTGACTAAAAATTGCACGGAGTGCTTTCTAGATGAATGCCAAAATTAACAGCAGAGAACTCAGCAAACTTATCAAATAAACGAGCTAAATTTCAAAGAAAAAAATCCGTGAGAAAACACTACAGAACCTGTCTTATTCTGTGACAAATATAGGCTAACTTTTGAACCTTTTCCCTTTTCGTGGGTGTCATCATTCAGCAGGAGTCGTGCTAATATTCCCTGTATAATCCAATTCTGTCAGAAGTAACCAGAGCAACAGGCAAAAACAGACAGTTACTTTCAAAAATCCAGAATAAGCTGCGACAATCAGTATGACATAACACCATAACCACTATTCGTTGGCTACATCCTTCTTACCGCAGCCATCCATTCTCTAACCTAACAAGGAACATTTCCCTAAACCAAGATTGCACCATATAAGGATTACTATCATCGTAACAGATCTTGATCAATAGCAAAAAATGATCGGTCTAATTTTCCATCCTCGGCTCTACCTACGATAACTAATGCTTACACACACAATAGAAAAAGAGAGACAGTAGAATCCACATAGGTTAGCTCATTCTTCTCGATTCACAGTAACGGTATCAAAAAGCATTAATCTTGCTCAAACAACTCTAATGGACTTAAAAAAAACTAATTTTATTGCTAAGAAAACATTCATAATTCATATCATGCTTCCTTAAACAGCAAAATCATTACTTCAACCAACTTTACTACTCTTCATTTCCAAATCTTAGTACAAAAACTACAGAAATAGCAAAAATACAGTTCAATAGTTTCATTTAATCCAGCTCCTTCTGAACTTTAATCCCCATAGAATTCGCCGTCCCAATAATAGACTTACAAATCGACGCCAAGGGCATGTACTGGCAAAACGGATCACTCTGTTTGATTTTAGCAATCTCATAAACGTGCTTTAGGGTTAGAGTTGACGCCGTTACATGACCAGGGCGGCCACTTCCCAGCTCAATTCCAGCAGCCTGCTTTAGGTACCATGTAACTGACGGAGACTTAACGGTGAACTCGAAAGTCCCGTCCTTGAACGCCGATATGGTGACGGCCATAGGTGTACCGGGCTTGAACTTCTGGGTCCGAGCATTGAAGTCCTTGCAGAAAGCCATGGAGTTGAGCTTGTATTGACCCAGGGCCGGTCCTACTGGTGGGCCGGGCTTAGCTGCACCCGCATCGACGGTGAGACGGATCGTGGCTGAGATAGGGCGGCGCGTTAAGATCTCTTTTAGTGTCGCCATTCTGCAAAATGAGGCGGCGTAAAAGAGGGGTTTTGCTACTGCTTTAGCTGCGCCGGTGATGAGGCAGCGGTGATTTGTGGGTGGGGGGGGGGGGGGTGTTTGCTACTGCTTTAGCTGCACCGGTGACGAAGCTTTTTGTTCAGTGCTTTTTTAACTTATGGGCTTATGGCCCATAATGTTATGGGCTGCCTCATTTTGGTCAATAAGAAGAAAAAAAGTAAAAATTGCACTGGCGCCCTATTTGGTCGCTCTCATTTAACTTATACCCATCTTTTTAAAAAGTTTTAACTTGTACTCACTTTTAAACAACTTCATGACTCTTTCTCCTCCTCCTTCTCCTCTTTCGTTTTCTGAATGCTGAAGCTTGGGATATTATTATGCGTTGCCTACTGATTCATATATATATCTGTTTGTCCCATTATGTTCAGTTTGGTCTTATTCACAATAATTTAACCTCTTAGATATTTTAGCTTTACAGGAACCTTGGTTTTGGGTCCTAATTTATCTGTAGTAACTTGTTTTCATGTCGAAAATATTTTTCATTCTTTAATCTTTGAAATGAAAAGCATTAATTGCTGCTAATCATGATCTATTAAATTTATTGTTGTTTAGAACTTCAGCTCTAAGAATGCTGAAGTTTGTAAACAAAAACTTCAGCTCCTATAATGCTGAAGTTCAACAAATATAAAACAAACTTCAATCCTAGAATTTAGTCTCTTATAAAAGATGATTAAGTTTCATGTTAGAGATTTTAACGTTGATTTATTCTGTAATATTGAGTACTGTTATATCTTAATTCAGGTTAAAAAGTTATGAAAGCTTGTTTTATCTTAATAAGAGTGGTGCATTCTAAAGAAACTGTTCATTTTAAGATTGAAAATGAAATTGATAAAATTCAACATAATCTGAGAATTGTCCAACATAGAAATGATTTATGAATGCTGCTTTATACAGACACTGTTCATTTTTAAAACTACTGGCTATTTGAGGCTTCACTACTTAAGTGTGTGCATTTACAGAAGATCCACTTGTACAAGTGAGTAGATTTGAGGGATTTGTTATGCATGGTGCAGCACATGATGTGCTATTGAGCTTTTGTGGGAGGATGAAAAGCACACAAATTGAGTAGCCTACAGTTCATGCTAAGGCTAAATTCTTGAAAACCAAAGGGTCTGTTCCCTTTTTGGTAAGTTATCCAAAACACAGAAGTTATGTAACAAAAGTGACATACCAAGAACATCCATCTTGTTTGCACTAGTAATGCTCAGCTTTACAATCATTTTGTAGAGAAAGGAAACTTTTAACTTTTTCTTCTTTTGGGAGGGGAGGAAAACACAACCAAAGTCATTTCATAGATTATGGTCAGTCCCTTCACAAAGACCAAACTGAACCCCTTTGGCTATGAATGGATCTTGCATCTAATAATTATAATCAGCACATAACATTCAAAGAATAGTAACAGAAAAAGGACAAACACCGAGTTCCTCGAGGCTCCAAGGTTACAGGAGCTTCGTGTTTCTCAGCAACAGATCAATATGAACCATGGACAGCAGAAACTCAGAAAAATTGCTGACCTATGGTGTATGCTAATTTATCTCTATAAACAGATGCCAAACTCTCCTTTTCATATGTCACTCAACACCCCCTTTAAAAGATCCAGTCCTTCAGCTGATATACTTCTCCTCCTTGTAGTTCTTGGTATTTCAATTCGAGGTGGCGGATCATGAGAGAAGCAGATTACAAGAGCGGTTAGATTATCACAACTGTTACGTTTTAGTGCCTCCTTGACAAGAAATTTTGAGCATTTCTCAGGATCATTATGCAGCATGAGCTCCTTTCTTACGATTGTAACTGCATATTGGCTACTCATGACATCCCATAAGCCATCGCAGCCAATTATTAAGAACTCATCCTCTTCTGACAGGACCACCTCTTCGAACTCTGGCTCTGAGCTTAAGGGGCCCTTTGAACCTTTGGCGCCCTTTATGTGCCAGTCACCCAGTGCTCGGGCAACTGACAGCTGTCCGTTGAGGTAGCCATCAAAAATCGTTCCCCCTAGTTTTTCAATTCTCAATTTCTCAGAAGTAGCATTTGGCTTGTGATCTTTTGACAATTCAATTGCTCTTCCGCGCTTCCCTAGTACAGCTCGAGAGTCCCCAGCATTAGCTATTAGCATGGTCCTGTGTATTACAATAGAAAATATTAACAAATAAATGAGTGCAAGTTACAATCTGAGACAACTAAGTGGGATACGAAGGAAAGATGAATATAATAAATACATAGATGTAAGTCCAAATGTGTCCTTGTAAATGAAAATCATAACTAAAACGTGAAAGGTTTGCTCCACCATGGTATGTAATTTGAAGGCCTTAGGAAGATCACTTTAGCACGATGGACCTACACATTTCAAAGCGCTAATGCCATCTACTCGGCTATGAACTTCAAATATATAAGGGCCTATCGCACGTGTTCAAACTACTCTCATCTCAAATCAAATAAAAGCCTCGTCAACTGTAATCTAAAAAGAAATTTTGAGAATCCCTAGAAAAAGTTGCAAAACCGATATGCCAAAAGAAAAGTGGACTAACATGTGGCCATTCCTTACGAAGCTAAGGAAAAACAAGTATTGCGATATGATTTTCGGCTACAATGATTTTATCATCATTTTATCTTCCAATTTTTCAATTTGCCTCTATTTCATTATCGACATTCCCCAACCTGATAAACTTTGTTTAGGTTTCGGTGATGCCTTTCCTTTCAGTAGAAAGGTATTCTACCATTAGATCAGAACACAGACGATAGTCCAAAATATTCATAATTTTGCATAAACAATGTTTAGGGACAGTGATGGATTCACTACTTGTTGCTCCCTTCCAACATGAAGAATTGGAACATAGGACTGAACTACACAGAAGCAGATCAATGTCTTACCTTCCTAAAATAAGTGCGACCAGAGCAGTTGTTCCAGAGGTATTATCAAGAGACTTCGTATCAGCTAGCGCATTATCAGCTTTTGCAAAAGCATTCCTGACAGCTTTTTTTACCATCGATGGAAAATGGGAATCATCTACAATAAATTTAAGGAGATTCTTCTGAGTGAATGATGCAGCATCAACGCCACCATGGCCATCAAACACCTGGAAGTACAAAAACAACAATCAGACAAGTAATATCCAAGGAGTTGCCTTTTCAAGTTAGCGCATTTCTTGTTGATAACTTGATATCATACAACTACCGAAAACTAGATAGAAATCTTTGAACTCTATAATATATGTTTTTATTAAAAACACCAGTGCTCATTATATTCAGCTTTCTAATTTTAATCCTGAATTTTTAAATTTATGACTAGTACTAGAATTCAATACAAGACAGTCAAAGAACCTAGTGACATCAGGCTGTATCAGCCAAGAATCATGTTTTGACATTACATACAGAATGTAACTTTCAACAAATTATATGGCACTTCAGCTCTTCCTCAAAAACGACAATTTGGATCAAATAAGAAAGAACATACACCATAAAATGCTCCTTGTGAAAGAAGACCTTTGGAGTCATCAACATGTTCCCGAAGATTATCAACACGGATATGTTCATCTTCCATGTACGTTTTGGGTCCCATATCAGAACAGCTTCCAGAGCGAAAGATGGGGACATAAGCACAATTGTCACTTGATGGTGACCTCAGACCGATCATTACTGTATTTGGTTCCTAGAGATTTGATAACACAAAGACAACTTTCAATCAGCAAGCAGCATAAACACACACTGACAGATGAAAAGCCTCTCCAACTAAACAACCTACAAGGTGATATGCTTGCAAAACAATCATCGTGCACAAATTCATATAGGCAAGGCTAACTGTTGTAATGCAAATAAATGACAGTTCACCAACAGCTTATAATTCATGACGCGACCTACAAAGTCATTGTTGGCATAATCATGGTATTAAAATCCTAAAAGTTGTAAACAGTAAGAAAATCTTTAAACAGTTCACTTAGAGCAAATCAAGCTACTCAATAATGAAGAAGAATGTCTGTACTGGGATCTCCTTTTCACTGCTATTAGCACCAAGATACTTCTCCTTGGAAGAAAGATTTAAAACCAGAGATTGCTGATAGTTGTTAGCAATTAATTAGGATTGCCACTAGTGAACAATGACCAGGAACCACCGCGCAATTGACACAATTTTATCAAGTAATTATCCGGTCCAATTTTCCTTTTTTGTTTTTGAAATAGTTCATTTCCACAACAGGAATACCATACAAGTTTTCACTGATCACCTCAAGCAATTGATACAAAGTCCTGCTAAAGGATATAACTTTAGTACATAACATACATCACAGAGACTATGGAAAACAAAGGACTTGGTCACTTATACATAACTGAATTACTTGACAACCTACAACATAAGAATCTCAGTTTTAAATAAACCAAGCAAAGATCAAACTATCATGTTTTGGCAAAATTGGATCCACTTACCAATGCAGAAGTACCTGCCAAGCTAGCTTGGCTAATACAATGCCTCATCCCTGGATTGTTTCTTGGTGGCTTCCCTGCATTTGGCTGATTCAGATCATCAGATATTTCTTTATTTTCTTCAATTGCTGACATATTCCCTTTACAGAATCCATTCTCTATTTCCCCATTACAGGGTAACATACTGGTGCCTGGTGCCATCATTTCTTCCATTCACTCCATCAAACATACAGCAGATCCCTTATTTTGTAACCCTTAAACCAGAAATAGCAAGCTCAAAAATGTACATTCACTTTCCTTGCTTTCATGATTTCCTTTGATTATTTTTGTATTATATCTTCTTGGTTTTGAGGCTTCACATGGACAGCTGTGTAACTGTTCCTTGATCACAGCTCAGAAACACCACAAGAACCCACATTTTTAGGCAGAAATTGAGTATGACAGATCTTTCTTCTGATTTCAGAAACAAGCAAAGTCACCCACATGCCAAGATTCAAACTTTACAAAATTTCAGATTGGCCTTAGAAACAAGAACTGAAAAAGATTATGATATAAGATCTAAATTAAAGATAAGATAATAAGAATTTAACAAAGAAGATTAAGAGTGATTAAACGAACAATAAGAAAAAATCAAAGCATTGTAAAATGTGTAGTAAAGAAAAAGGAAGGGAGTTAACATAGATGAATGTATAGAGAGGGGGAGTGGCGATCCCAGCTTTGAGCTTTTTCATGGCCGGCTTTGTAGGTTTGTGGGGATTGGGAGATTGGGTTTGTTACACGTGGGACAGTTATTTGGATGGCAGGTATTTTAGTTGACCGCACATCTTTGTAATTTTATCATCATATAGGACAATCAAGAACAACCCCTAAGTAGTCATGATTTTGCATTTTGCTGTTGAAAATATTAGTATAGTTAAAAAATAATAAGAAGAAAATCTAAGGTTGAGGTGTGAATATCCTGCTATCATTAGAGAAAATTAATTTCATTATAGTAATAAAATTTATATTGATTGACAAGTAATGTTTTTGACTTGTCCCATTTAGTTAAAATTAATTTCACCTATTGTGTATAACAAGATGCTATCTTCATCTTATCAAATCAAGAGCTATCTACTATTAATAAAGGCACAGAATAGCATGTTAGAATTTAACACAAAAGCATAAGAATTTAAATAAAGCATATAAAATGGATAATAAGGCATAAAGAATTCACTTGCATGGTCAAAACTTCCAATTTTATGCTCAACACTAACCATCGTCGGATTCTATATCAGAATCACCCAACGTCAATCAATTTACCACCAATCCACGCCATCAAGATGAATTCAAATTCACACGCTGCATAATACAATATACTCGTACAAAAATACTAGTATATCATTATAGCTGCACGACAAACACCTCGTGCGACAACATCATAAACACCATAGTATCCGCACGGATTTGCCGATCTTAATACTAGTAGTTATCTTCTTTTATGGCCGAAATAGTTTAATGTGTCTTTAATTATATACAATTGAAGATTATTGAACATCTGTCGTTTGTGATTACAATAAGGGCTTTATTGTGGTTATACCTCATATGTTCTTGTTGGGTCCATACCCATAAATGAAAAAAAGAAAAGGAAGGAAAAGTGGTAGATTCCATTATAACTTACTTTGGATTTGATCTGCAAATTGTCAAAAATAGTGATAGAGCAATTTGCAATTGCAAATTGCAATAACCAATCGTTTTGATTGGTGGAAGATTGGGTGCTCAACACTATAAAATGAGAGCTTCAACTCTCATTTCTACACACCAATCTCAGAGAGAAATATATCTGAGAGAATAGAGAGCAGTGTGAGTATTTACATGCGGTGTAATTTGTGAGAAAAATTAGAGAGTGTGAGTGATATTGTAGTGAGGTGGGAATCTAAAAAGAAGGTTATTATTTTTGAGTGTATAGTGGTTTCTGGAGTATTTACTCGGGACTACGGAGTGTAAAATTTTCCACCAAGAACGTTTTCTAAAACTCTTTGACCCCCGAATTTGGAGTATCCTACTTTCACGCAATTCACAGGGTTCAACAAGCAATCGATATTTCACGATCAAGGGTGTAATACTCTTTGTAGTAGCGGGCCATTCTTCATTATAGTGAATTACTTTGCTCCTCTCGAGCCCGTAATTTTTCCCCTATTCAGAAGGATTTTTCACGTTAAAATCTTTGTGTCCTTGTGGTTCTTTTTATTCTTGTTGATTACCGTATCTCGACACTACGTTATTATTCTGTTGTTATTACCATGAATATTATTTCTGTGGGGAGTTTATTCCCAACAACTGGTATTAGAGCACATGTTTTGCTCGTTCACATAAATACTATTCACTGTCGGTAGTACTATACTCGGTAAAAAAAACCGGAGTAAAGTACGAGGTAGAAAAATTTAAGGGAGATAGCGGTTTCTCAACATGGCAAGAAGGATGAGGGATCTGCTCATCCAACAAGGATTACACAAGGGACTATATACTAATGCCAAAAAGCCTGATACCATGAAAGCTGAGGATTGGGCTGACTAGATGAAAGGGTTGCTAGTGCAATCGTGTTGCACTTATGAGATGATGTTGTAACTAACATCATTGATGAAGACAACGCATGTGGCATTTGGACAAGGTTGGAAAGCCTATACATGTCCAAAATGCTGACAAATAAATTATACCTGAAAAAGCAGCTATACGCCCTACACATGGGTGAAGGTACGAATTTTTTGTCACATTTAAATGTGTTTAACGGACTAATCACACAACTCGCCAACCTCGGAGTGAAAATCGACGAAGAAGATAAAGCCATTTTGATATTGAACTCATTGCCATCTTCGTACGATAATTTGGCAACAACCATCCTGCAGAGTAAGACAACCATTGAGTTGAAAGATGTCACATCAGCTCTTCTACTCAATGAGAAGATGAGAAAGAAGCCTGAAAATCAAGGACAGACTCTCATCACAGAAGGTAGAGGCAGGAGTTGCCAAGGGAGTTCAAGCAACTATGGTAGATCCGGAAGTCGTGGGAAGTCTAAGAACCGATCCAAATCAAAAGCCAAAAATTGCTACAATTGCGATCAACCAGGTCACTTCAAAAGAGATTGCCCAAATCTAAGAAAGGGCAAAGGTGAAAGCAGTGGCCAGAAGAATGATGACAACAAAACCGCCATGGTGCAAAAAAATGATAATGTTGTCCTCTTTATAAATAAGGAAGAGATATGCATGCACTTGGGAGGTCCGTAGTCGGAATGGGTGGTTGATACAACAACATCTTACCATGCCGCACCGGTAAGAGAAATCTTTTGCAGATATGTAGCAGGTAATTTTGGAACTGTGAGAATAGATAACACGAGTTACTCAAATATTGTGGGGAACAGTGACATTTGTATCAAGACAAATGTCTGATACACATTGGTCCTAAAGGACGTGCGGCATCTACCTGATTTGCGGATGAATTTGATCTCGAAAATTGCTTTAGACTGAGATAGGTACGAGAACTATTTTCCAAATCCAAAGTGGAGACTCACCAAGGGATCATTGGTGATTGCAAAGGGAGTTGCTCGTGGCACGTTGTACAGAACAAATGCAGAAATATGCCAAGGTGAATTGAACGTGGCACAAGATGAGATTTCTGCAAATTTTGGGCACAAAAGAATGAGTCATATGCACGAGAAGGGATTGCAGATTCTTGCCAGGAAATCACTCTTTTCTTCTGCCAAAAGTGCAACGGTAAAACCTTGTGACTATTTTTTATTTGGTAAGTACCATAGAGTCTCATTTCAGACATCGTCTAAAAGAAAATTAAATATACTTGATTTGGTATATTCTGGTGTTTGTGGTCCAATAAAAATTGAATCGATGATTGGTAACAAATATTTTGTTACTTTATTGATGATGCTTTACGAAAATTGTGGGTTTATATTTTGAAAACCAAAGATCAGGTGTTTCAAGTTTTCTAGAAGTTTCATGCTCTGGTGGAAAGGGAGACAGGACAAAAGCTAAAACATCTCCGAAGTGACAGTGGAGGTGAGTACACTTCAAGGGTATTTGAAGAGTATTGCTCGAACCATGAGATCAGACATGAAAAAACAGTTCCTGGAACCCCACAACACAATGGTGTAGCTGAGAGAATGAACCGCACCATTGTTGAGAAGGTGAGAATCATGCTCAGAATGGCTAAACTGCCTAAGTCATTATTGGGTGAAGCAGTTCTGACATCATATTACCTGATCAATAGGAGTCCATTAGTTCCATTGGATTTGACATCCTAGAGAGAGTTTGGACCAACAAAGAGGTGTCCTACTCACATCTAAAGGTATTCGGTTGCAGAGCTTTTGCACATGTACCAAAGGAGCACAGAACAAAGCTATATGGTAAATTCATTTGCTGCATATTCATCGGATATGGAAATGAAGAGTTCGGGTACAGATTGTGGGATCCCGTAAAAAGAAAGTCATTAGAAGTAGAGATGTAATCTTCCGAGAAAGTGAAGTTGGAGCTGTAGATGATCAGTCAGAGAAGGACAGGAATGGTATAATCCCTAACCTTGTTACCATTCCTTCTACTCCTAACAATCCCACAAGTGCAGAAACTAGGACCGACGAGGTTTCCGAGCAAGGGGAGCAACCTAGTGAGGTTATTGAGCAGGGGGGCACTTGATGATGATGTCGAGCAAGTGGAGTAACCCACTCAGGAAAAAGAACAACCTTAACCTCTGAGGAGATCAAAGAGGCCAAGGGTAGAGTCATGCATGTAGCCATCTGCAAAGTATGTCCTCATTAGTGATGAGGGGTAGCTAGAAAGTCTTAAGGAGGTGTTGTCCCATCCAGAAAAGAACTAGTGGATGAAAGTTGTTGGCCCAAGAATAGGTGAAGTTTTGAAGATTGACAAAAGAACTCAGTCATGGACCAGGTCCATCTTGTGAAGCACAGTCATGATCAATCTATACATGTGAGATGCACGTGAAGGAGATAAGGACTACTGATCAAGCAGCAATATCTCCTGATCTGATCGAAAAGGTTGCATATTAGATAAGGGGGGAAATTTTCCTTATATGAGGAGAACACAATCCAGGATGAAGATAGTGTTAGAGTTTGAAAACATCATGAACTCTTCTACGATAGAAGAGCAGCAATTGAGTCCTAATCAAACTCTGATCACTAACCTATTAAATGACAGCTATTGTTCTCTTTTACAGGAATTGCACATACGCAGAAGTTAAACTAAATTGAGAGCAAAAGAGCAAGGCGATTTTGCAAGCAATTTATGTGTGATTTAAGTGTGCACTCTTGTAGCTACTTGAACGAGATAGAAGAACCAGTTACATTGTGTTTATCTTTTATTCTAGTTCAATTGTATTTAAAATTGTACCTTTCAGCTTTCATAGAAGCAATTATATTAGGTACCTAGAGTGTTCAAGTTATAGCTAACTTGAAGTTGTCGCAACAGTTAAGGTTGTGTCCCACAACGGGATTAGAGTTAATCCTTAGGTTTACAAGAGTTTTGTAAATGTTGTTTTGGCTTAGTGATTTTAGTGGAAGTTCGGGAAAATCCTACTGAGTAGCAGGTCGTGGTTTTTTAACCTTTTGAGCCAGGTGTTTTCCACGTAAAAATCTCTGTTCTTTATTTTCAGTATCTGTTATTCCTCAAACAGTAGTAGTTCGAACACCTAGAAGAACCAGGTTCTTCTATAGAGTAGTTAAGCGAAAATTGGGTACCACACAAATCACCCCCCCTCTTGTGTGGTATTGACGCTTAAAACATCAATTGGCATCAGAGCGGGTTATCCTT